TTGTTGCAGGCAAGTTAGGGACACAGACCTCCAGCTGTTGTCTGCTGGAGCCTGATTGCTGTGTGTGGGATTGTAGTTAGTGGGTGAGTGACAGTCCTCTCTCACTGTAAATCTGTCTCCATCTCTGTCCCTCCACACCGTGCTTTTATTCAAAGATTTGTTGAGGAATCATTGAAATAATTACCATGAGGCCAGCGTCTGACTGCACCAGGTTTCTGGGGGGGCTCTCAGCCCTGCTCAGAGGGGCAGAGGAGGCAGTACACCCCTCATTTTCCCCACCACCTGTGATCGGCCCTGGGGGTGGGAATCACTGGTTCACATGAGCCTAAAGAACTACATGTTTGGGTCTCAGAGACCACACCCCATTCCGACGTTGTTCCCCAAACTTCCAGGCTGAGGCTGAGGGGCTGGGTGGGTTTGGCAGGACTGGGGGTATTGGGTGAGTGCAGCGATTCTCCCTGGTGAGGGAGGAGAACAGAGACGGTTACAGGCATTGGAAGAGAGGACCAGCCATGCAGATATCTGGCGGGAGCATTCCAGGTGGAGGGCACAGCCGGTGTGTGCAAAGGCCCTGAGGCAGGGCAGTGCCTGGTGTGTTGGAGGAGGAGCAAGGAGGCCTGTGTGCCTGAAATAGAATGATCGAGAGGTAGCAGGGTGATTTGGTGTTACAACCACCGCTTCCGAGCCAGGAGCTCCTGGTCCCAAGCCTATTTGGGGTGCACATCTTCCTAACAGGCTTAGCTATGGGCACTTCCCCTACAGCAGGGGTTCTCCACCACGCCCTATTGTCATTTGGGTCCAGGCAGTCTTCTGTCTTGGGGGGCTGTGTTGTGCATTGTGGGATATTTAACAGCAGCCCTGGTCTCTACCCACCAGGTACCCGTAGCACCTCCCAGGTTGGGATAACAAAAAATATCTCCAGACATTGACAAATTTCCCCTGGGTTTAGAACCATTGTCCTAAAGTTGGAAGTGGGGCGGGGAGTGGGAGGCTGCCTGGCGGGACTGGGGTGGGATCTGCACAGGACAAGTGAGGATTTCTGGTGTGATCTTAAGTGAACAAGCTTCATTCTCCTCATCTATCAAATCGGAATCTGTGGTGATGAGAGGATTCAATTCATTCATTCAGTCAACAAGTATTTATCAAGCACCTACTATATGCCAGTGAGGATACACCACGAAGAAGAAAGACAGGCAGTGGCATCATGAAAGAAAGAGAGATGTTAGTTGCTGGGCGTAGTGGCTCATGCCTGTACTCCCAGCTATTCAGGAGGCTGAGGTGGGAGGATTGTTTGAGCCCAGGAGGTCGAGGCTGCAGTGAGCTATGATTGCACCACTGCACTCCAGCCTGGGTGACAGAGCAAGACCCTCTCTCTAAAAAAGTTTAAAGCCCAGGTGTGGTGCCTCATGCCTGTAATCCAAGCACTTTGGGAGGCCAAGGTGGGTGGATCACCTGAGGTCAGGAGTTCAAGACCAGCCTGGCCAACGTGGTAAAACCCTGTCTCCACTAAAAATACAAAAAATTAGCTGGGCGTGGTGGTGTGCATCTGTGATCCCAGCTACTCGGGAGGCTGAGGCAGGAGAATCACTTGATCCCAGGAGGCAGAGGCTACAGTGAGCCCTAATGGTGCCACCGCACTGCAGTCTGGGTAACACTGCAAGACCTTGTTTCAAAAAAAAAAAAAAATTTTTTTTTAAAGGAAAGAGACATGAATCAAATAATTACACAAATACCTGTAAAATCACAACAATACTAAATGCTGAGAAGCAGAAGCACCTGCAGTCAGAAGCAGAGGCACCTGACAGTGTGGTAGGTTGGAGAGGGCTTCCCAGAGAATTTGTGATCAGAGGAGGGGGATAAGGGAACTAACTAGGGGAAGGGAGGAAGAGCGTTGCAGGCGCTGGGGCTGCAGGTGCTGAGGCCCTGTGGTGACTCGGAATGGCGGGAAGGCCAGTGTGGTTGGAGTAGGGCCGGGATACGCTCCATCTGGATCTCCCAGGCCCTGTAGGTGGGGGAAGGGAGTGCAGTCTTGATCTGTTAAAGGTTTTAAGCAGGAAAGTGGCATAATCTGATTTGCATGGTGAAAAGATCCTTCCAGCAGATAGTGTCTGTAAAGTGCTTAGCTTAGGCAGTGTGAGGGACTCAGAAAGGACTTGGATGACGCCAGCGGGTATTTTGGGGACCCAGAGGGGTCACAGGCTCCAGTTCGTGCCCTCTGAGTCCCCAGGGATGAAGCTCTGGCCTGTTTCCAGGAGCCCATAGCATATTTCAGGCTTGGGAAGAATGTCCCTGTTTTCAGCATAGTTTCAGAGATGGGGGAGGGACGGCCACCTCTAGGGTGGCGGGGGGAGGGCTCCAAGGACCGGAAGACACTTCTTTCAGTGAACTCCCGGGCCCATTTCACAGAAGGGCGACTGAGGCCCTGGGGCCTCATGAGCCCCCAGTCCTGACCTACAATACCGGCCACTGCCCCGTAGGAGGTCCCAGAGGAGCTGCGTCTTGGCATCGAAGGCGCTTTTGGGACCTGCTCACAGTTCAGGCCACATCTCAGGCTTGGCAGGGTAGGCTCTGGGCTCCAGTTGCTCAGGCAGCAAACCCAGCTGTGTGACCCTGGGCAAGTTGGTGCACCTCTCTGGGCCTCCAGGGAAAAAAGAGATGTGGGGCCTCCCAGGGGTGTTGTGAGAATTAAACAACATTGTCTACACTCATTCAACAAACAGTTACTAAGCACCTACTGTGTGTCAGGTGCTGTTCTGGGCACTGGGGACATAGACGGGGAACGGTCTCTGTTCTCGGGGGCTGGTGTTGGGCAGA